TTATCCAGTGAAACTTGTTTATTTATTTATTTTTGAGACAGAGTCTTGCTCTGTTGCCCAGGCTGGAGTGCAATGGTGCAGTCTTGGCTCACTACAACCTCTGCCTCCTGGGTTCAAGCTATTCTCCTGCCTTGGCCTCCCAAGTAGCTGAGATTACAGGTGCTGGCTACCATGCCTGGGTATTTTTTTGTATTTTTAGTAGAGACAGGGTCTCGTTATGTTGCCCAGGCTGGTCTTGAACTCCTAACCTCAAGTGATCCATCCACCTTGGCAAAGTGCTGGGATTACAGGCATGAGACACCACACCTAGCCAAAACTTGCTAAAGATAGTAAGACAGACTGTATTCAAGGTGTGGGGGGAGGCATGGTAATAGGTATGAAGACCACTGTGAGACAGAGATGGGGCTTGATTCTGATTCCAGCAAGGACAAGGGGAGTTTACAACAACGAAGGTGCAGCGTGGGGGTCATGAAATTACTAAGAGGGACCATCAGGGCTGAGGGGGTTTCTGGCTGAACCTGTTTGATAGGATTTTTATTGTAGGCAGGACAGGATGACAAGATACCAAGGGTGGAGGATTTTCTCTAACCTTACTTAGCAGCATTCTTGCTCAAAATGTATTCTTTGAGGGCAGAAAGGAAAGCCAAAGATCAGGTCTAGGCAGAAAGACCTAAGGGACCTGCCTCAAGTGCAATAAAAGAAGATAATCTATCAGTAATTCTTGGATTTTTATTATGGGAACACGGGCTTGTAATCACTTCATTCAGAACTGAGAGTATCAAATCTAGGATTGACCAAGAGGCTGGGCACAGTAGCTCATGCCTGTAATCCCAGCACTTTGAGAGGCTGAGGAGGGCAGATCACCTGAGGTCAGGAGTTCGAGACCAGCCTGCCCAACATGGTGAAACCCTGTTTTTACTTAAAAAAAAAAAAAAAAAAAAAAAAAAAGACACAAAAATTAGCTGGGTGTGCTGGTGCATGCCTGTGATCCCAGCTACTTGGGAGGGTGAGGCATGAGAATTGCTTGAACCCAGGAGGTAGAGGTTGCAGCGATCTGAGATGGTGCCACGGCACTCCAGCCTGGGTGACAGAGTGAGACTTCATCTAAAAAAACAATAACAAAAATTAGCTGGGCATGGTGGTGCACGTCTGTAATCTCAGCTACTCAGGAGGCTGAGGCAGGAGAACCACTTGAACTTGGGAGGTGGAGCTTGCTGAGATCACACTATTGCACTCCAGCCTGGACAACAGAGTGAGACTGTCTCAAAAAATAAAATAAAAAATAAATAAATAAATAAATAAATATACTCAGGTTAAGGTGACCTCGGTCTACAGAGAACAGACAGTATCTTAGGATGTTGCTGTATGAGAACGAAATGACAAGCAATATCAATATCATCTTCTTGTTTTCTTTCTTTCTTTTTTTTTTTTTCTTGTTACCCAGGCTGGAGTGCAATGGCGCGATCTCGGCTCACCGCAACCTCCGCCTCCTGGGTTCAGGCAATTCTCCTGCCTCAGCCTCCTGAGTAGCTGGGATTACAGGCACGTGCCACCATGCCCAGCTAATTTTTTGTATTTTTAGTAGAGACGGGGTTTCACCATGTTGACCAGGATGGTCTTGATCTCTTGACCTCGTGATCCACCCGCCTCAGCCTCCCAAAGTGGTGGGATTACAGGCGTGAGCCACCGCGCCGGGCCCGCAATATCAATATCATGAGGTGACGTAGACAGCTATTGAAGCAGGTGAAACTATAATAGCAATACTGAAATCTGTTTTCAGTGAAAACCTTAGCTCCTCCCAGCATAAACTATGTTATAAAATTAGTGGTATACATAGAGAAGAGCAAAGGACAACTTTTTTCTTTGTTTTGCTTTTTTTGTTTGTTTGCTGGTTTATTTTTGAGATGGAGTTTTGCCCTGTCACACAGGCTGGAGTGCAATGGCGCAATCTTGGCTCACTGCAAACTTTGCCTCCTGGGTTCAAAGATTCTCCTGCCTCAGCCTCCTTAGTAGCTGGGATTACAGGTGCCTGCCACCACACCCAGCTAATTTTTGTATTTTTAGTAGACACAGGGTTTCACCATGTTGGCCAGGCTGGTCTCAAACTCCTGACCTTGTGATCGGCCCACCTTGTCCTCCCAAAGTGATGAGATTACAGGTGTGAGCCACCTCGCCCGGCCTGTTTTTGTTTTTTTTAGAGACAGGGTCTGGCTCTGTTGACCAGGCTGAAGTACAATGGTGTGATCTCAGCTCACTGCAGCCTTGACCTCCTGCACTCAAGCCGTCCTCCTGCTTCAGCCTTCCAAGAAACTGGGACTATGAGCATGTGTCATCACATCTGGCTATTAAAAAAATTTTTTTTGTACAGCTAGAGTCTCACTTTGTTGCCCAGGCTGGTCTTGAACTCCTGGGCTCAAGCATTTCACCTGCCTCAGGTTCCCAAAGTATTGGGATTACAGGTGTAAGCCGCTGCACCCGGCCTGACAACTTCTTATTTATTCATTTATTTAGAGATAGGGTCTTGCTGTGTTGCCCAGGCTGAAGTGCAGTGGCTATTCATAGGTGTGATCATAGCTCACTTCAGCCTTGTACTTCTGGGCTCAAGTGATCCTCCTACCTCAGCCTCCTGAGTGGCTGAGACTACAGGTATGTGCCACCTCATCTGGCTAATTTTTTCTTTTTCTTTTTTTTTTTTTGAGATGGAGTTTTGCTCTGTCAACTAGCCTACAGCAGTGGCATGATCTCAGCTCACTGCAACCTCTGCCTCCTGAGTTTAAGTGATTCTTCTGCCTCAGCCTCCAAATAGCTGTGATTACAGACATGGGCCACCAAACCAAGCTATTTTTAGTAGAGATGGGGTTTCACCATGTTGGCCAGGCTGATCTCGAACTCCTATCCTCAGGTTATCCGCCTGCCTTGGCCTTCCAAAGTGCTGGGATTACAGGCATGAGCCACCATGCCTGACCATACAGATTATTTTTTAATCATTAAATTTTCTTTCTTTCTTTTTTTAAAAAATTTATTTATTTATTTATTTATTTATTTATTTAAAGATGGGGTTTCACCATGTTGGCCAGTATGGTCTTGATCTCCTGACCTCGTGATCTACCTGCCTCGGCCTCCCAAAGTGTTGGGATTACAGGCATGAGCCACCGCACCTGGCCTAATGATTAAACTTCTAACAAAAAGAGAATTTAATGAGTAAAGGGGATGAGAATAGTTATGCTAGAAAAGCTGTACTGGGCTGGTCACAATGGCTCATGCCTGTAATCCCAGCACTTTAGGAGGCCAAGGCGGGGGATCACCTGAGGTAGGGAGTTCAAGACCAGCCTGACCAATATGGAGAAACCCTGACCAGCATGGAGAAACCTTGACCAATATGGAGAAACCCCGTCTCTACTAAAAATACAAAATTAGCTGGGCTTGGTGGTGCATAACTGTAATCCCAGCTACTCAGGGGGCCGAGGCAGAAGAATCACTTGAACCCGGGAGGCGGAAGTTGTGGTGAGCCGAGATCGTGCCATTGCATTCTAGCTTGGGCAACAAAAGGGAAACCCTGTCTCAAAAACAAACAAACAGAAAACCTGGACTCAGGAAAGGTACTGTGGCTGAATGCAAACAAGGCAGAGGATAATAACAGTAGGTTCCCAAGTGCTCATTCTCTCCTTTCCTCACAGCGGCCACCCCAGCAGATCCTCAGGAGGCCAAGCACTACCAGTCTGTTCACATTGCTGGAAGCACAGGGATCGTCACGGCCCAACCCAACTGGAGCACTGAAGACGCCGGGTCCGCTCCTTTAGTTTTCCACCCTAGAACCAATATCATTATCTTTCCACCAATTAGATAAGTGTGAAACATTTTCCTTCATATCCTGTACTTGTATCTCTGCATCATACCTTGTTTGTCGTATCACATAATCTTATTACTTGGAAGTCATGACTTTATGAAGGCTGAAGCATAGACAGTGCTTATAAATATTTACAAGGAAGAACAGAAGCCGCCCTCCCAGAGTGGGCTTCAGGTTGACCGTCCAGCCTAGGAAATCAAGCTACTGCATCCTAGTCTTCATTTTTTTTCGTCCTCATCACTGGCTACTTAGTCTCCTTCTTAGGCAAAGACACTAACAGTGCAGATTCCCTCCCTCCACAAATACCAGATGGTTTTCTAACAGTCCTGGCTTGCCCAAAGAACACCGAGTCTCTTATTTTCACAACCCAAGTATTCTTTTTTGAAACTAAGTCTCACTCTGTTGCCCAGGCTGGAGTACAGTGGTATGATTGCTGCTCACTGCAACCTCTGCCTGCCATGTTCAAGCGATTCTCGATTCTCCTGCCTCAGCCTTGAGAGTAGTTGGGATTGCATTCCACCACATCGGGCTAATTTTTTTTGGTATTTTTAGTAGAGATGAGTTTTCACCATGTTGGCCAGGCTGGTTTCAAACTCCTGACGTCAAGTGACCCACCCACCTCGGCCTCCCAAAATGTTGGAATTACAGGCGTGAGCCACTACGCCTGGCCTCAAATACTCTTTTCTTTCTTTCTTTCTTTTTTTTTTTTTTTTTTGAGAGAGAATCTCATTCGGTCACCCAGGCTGGAGTGCAGAGACATTATCTTGGCTCACTGCAACTTCTGCCTCCTGGGTTCAAATGATTCCCCTGCCTCAGACTCCTGAGTAGCTGGGATTGCAGGCACCTGCAGCTAATTTTTGTGTTTTTAGTAGAGACGGGGTTTCACCTGGTTGGCCAGGCTTGTCTCGATTTCGTGACCTCAGGTGATCTACCCGCCTTGGCCTCTCAAAGTGCTGGGATTACAAGTGTGAGCCACTGCGCCCAGCAATGCTCTTTCTTCTCTATGGTTTTTTATCTAAAGTATTTCAAGTATAAGCCAGATGAAAAAAGAATTCTAGCTCTTTGAGAGCCAACAAGAAAGACTGGAAGACTGAAGAAAGGCCAATGCAGGGGGACAAGAAGGAGGAGGGACTCCAGCCAGGTGTCTACTTACCGCTTTTTGGTTCCCTTCATTATCAGTGAGCAGCCATTCAATATCCAGAGTGTCTTTTTCTGGAAGCCCCAGTTGATGGTGACAGGGCAAAGTGACCTTTTCCTCTGCCACTCTCTTGATCTCGGTGTGAGTCCCTAAGGTTCCAACATAGTAGGAAACTGGAAGAAGAAAATCTTTAATGAGTAATGCAGAGACTAGATGGCAATATGTGGGGAGCAAATAGGACAACAAAGAATTATGGGATGTTCCTGTGGGCAAGGGCATGTCAAGGTGTTGGAAGAGTCCTGAACCAGGAGTACTAGAAGTCCTGCTCTCACACTGGCTCCTCTGTTAACTGAATTCATCATGTCTTCTTTTTTTTTTTTTTTTTTTGATATCATGTCTTCTTTAACCACCCCAGATTACCTCCTAATAGTGCCTGTCTTTCTTACATTACTTGGTCTTTATGAACAATACAATTGTTCATGTCAGCTTTGTGTTTGTGTGTGTGTGTGTGTGTGTGTGTGTGTGTGTGTGTGATGGAGTCACACTGTCACCCAGGCTGTAGTGCAGTGCGGTGATCTCAGCTGACTGCAACCTCTGCCTCCCAGGTTCAAGTGATTCTCCTGCCTGAGCATCTTGAGAGCTGGGGTTACAGGCATGTGCCACCATGCCCAGGTAATTTTTTTTTGTATTTTGAGTAGAGACAGGGTTTCACCATGTTGGTCAGGCTGGTCTTGAACTCCTTACCTCGTGATCCGCCCACCTCAGCCTCCCAAAGTGCTGAGATTAAAGGTGTGAGCTATCGCACCCGCCTGCTTTTTATTTTTTTTTGAGAGATTGGGTGTCTCTCTGTTGCCCAGGTTGGAGTGCAGTGGTGCAATCATGGCTCATTGCACCCTTAACCTCGCCAGTTTAAGCGACCCTCCCACCTCAGCCTCCAGAGAAGCTAAGACTACAGCCATATGCCATTATGCCGGCTAATTTTTTGTAGAGACAGGGTCATGCTCTGTTATTATGCCAGGTTCCAAATTGCTTCTGGGCTTAAGTGATCCTACAAACTTGGCTTCACAAAGTGCTAGAATTGCAGGCTTGAGCCACCACCTGGTCACAACTGTGTTTTTTGATCTTTCTATCTTCTCTTAGCAGAGGCTTCCAAGAAGATGATACTCATGGAAACTATACTAAGTTGTCGAGAAACTCATGTTCTTCTTCTTTTTTTTTTTGAGACAGTCTCACACTGTCTCCCAGACTGGAGATCAACAGTGCAATCTTGGCTTACCATAACCTCTGCCTCCGGGATTCATGCGATTCTCCTGCCTCAGACTCCCCGGTAGCTGGGATTACAGGCGCACACCACCACACCCAGCTATGTTTGTTTGTTTGGAGTTTTTTTTTTTTTTTTTTTTTTTTGTATTTTTAGTAGAGATGGGGGTTTCACTATGTTGACCAGACTGGTCTGAACTCCAGATCTTGTGATCCGCCTGCCTCCGCCTCCCAAAGTGCTGGGATTACAGGTGTGAGTCACCTCACCCAGCCGAAACACAAGTTCCTAAATTATAGGATCATAACCATTTGAAACTGGAGAAAACCTTAGAGATGCACCTTCTTATTTTCTTCAAATCTAGTAATAGATGTTGCTGACCAGTAGCATGTATTTAGGAGGATAAAAAGACAACTACACAGATAATGTAGTATAAAGGGAAATTATTCATGATCAAAGGAATATGCAAATTTAGAAGATAAATTATAGGCAATTCAATGTAGGGTTCAGGAGAAGATTAAATCCATCAAAGGTTTTGTAAATATTAGAAATAGAGTATGTAAATCATCTAGTATATGTTTAGCACTGAGTGGCTCTGAATAAAAGGCAATTGATTTTATTATGGGAGAAGGTGGCATTTGATACGGAGCTTGGAAAATGGAATTCATTCATTGGGTAGAATAGAGGAGGAGGAAAGGTGTCGAGATGTTGAGGAGGTGACAGGAACAAAGGCACAGGATATAAGAGGTGGGGGCACGGATATTCAGTGAATGGTAATAGTTCACCTTGGCTGATGCGAAGAAGAAATGTGAAAAAGTAGTAACAAATTATGCTGGAAAAGTGAAACAGTTGATGGGATGAAAGACCTTTCCTGTTACAAAGAGCACAGTGACATAATCTCTCTCTCTCTCTCTTTTTTTTTTTTTTTGAGATGGGGTTTCACCATGTTGCCCAGGATGGTCTCAATATCCTGACCTCGTGATCCACCCACCTTGGCCTCCTGAAGTGCTGAGATTACAGGCGTGAGCCACCACGCCCGGCCGCCCAGCCCTTTTTTTTTTTTTTGAGACAGAGTTTCACTTTGTCACCCAGGCTGGAGTCCAGTGGTGTGATCTTGGCTCACTGCAAACTTCGCTTCCTGGGTTCAAGCAATTCTCCTGCCTTAGCCTCCCAAGTAGCTGGGATTATAGGCACCTGCCACCATACCTGGCTAATCTTTTTGTATTTTTAGTAGAGACAGGGTTTCACCATATTGGCTAGGCTGGTCTTAAACTCCTGACTTCAGGTGATCCACCCACTTCAGCCCCCGACACTGCTGGGATTACAGGCATAAACCACCACTCCTGACAACGTAATTTCTTGCTTAAGAAAGAGATAGTTTAATTCAAGGAGATGTGAAGTAAATAAAATAAAGTACAAAGAAAAAAAAGAAGAAGAAAGAGTTTAGGAGCTGTGTGTCGAACGAACAGAAAAAGGGAAATATTGAGACATACATTTGTGAAAACACTGTTATTTTTTTCCAGGTAAGAGATTTTGCCTTAGGATAGTGGTGAAAATAGTAAAAAACAAATGATGGATTTGTGAGATCAAGTGATAGTCAAAACCACAGAACATAGCAACTGACTGGATCTTAGAGGAGAAAGAAAAAGGATTTAAAAGCAAAGATTGGGTCGGGTACCGTGGCTCATGCCTGTAGTCCCAGCACTTTGGGGGGCTGAGGAGGGCAGATCACTTGGGATCAGGAGTTAGTACCAGCCTGGCCAACCGTGGTTAACATGGTGAAACCCCACCTCTACTAAAAATACAAAACTTAGCCAGAGATGTGGGTAGGCATCTGTAATCCCAGCTACTCAGGAGGCTGAGGCTGGAGAATGGCTTGAACCCAGGAGGTTGTAGTGAGCTGAGATCGCACCATTGCACTCCAACCTGGGTGACAGAGTGAGACTCCATCTCAGAAGGAAAAAAAAAAAAAAAAAAGATCATTTTCAAGTTTGCATGACTGGTAGGATGGTGATCGCAGTAGCAGTGATGGGGAAGCCAGGAGTACTATGTGTTTTATTTGGGGGTGAGTTGGGGAGGGCAGGCACTGAGTCTGGATTCAAGTCTGTTGTGATGCAGCCAATCTGTCCAACAGGCAGCCCCATGTTCTTTCCCCGACAACAGTGCCTTCCTTTCCACTGCTGATGTTCACACAGCTCCCCAAATAGTGTCCACCCTCAGTTGTTGCGTTAGAGGAAGTCACAGCCCTGCTTTGCTTTATTTCTTCATTTTTCATTTGCCTTGTGCCTCTAAATGAAGCTCTTGGAAATGCTTCTGTTCCATCCGGTATGCCTGTGCTAAACTGTTTCAGGTCCCTGAATTTCTCTGCTCATTCCACAAGAACAGTTCTTTTCCTTCCACTGAGACAGGAAGGCAGGGGTTGGCATCCTCCCCAGAGCAGGCTTCAATACCAGGTCACGGGCTGGGTTCCAGGTTGCTCCTTAGAGCCTTCCTAGAGACAGATTACCCTACTCGACCTCTCTATAAGTGCAGAAATACCTTGGGAAACAAGTGGGCTCTTAGAGTTCTTGCCTCCCTTAGAGACACACATTCTTTTTTTTTAAAAAAAAAATTATTTTTTTATTTTTATTTTTATTTATTTATTTTTTTGAGACAGTCTTGCTCTGTTGCCAGGCGCCAGACTGGAGAGCAGTGGCACGATCTCGGCTCACTGAAACCTCTGCCTCCCAAGTTCGCGCAGTTCTCCTGTCTCAGACTCCCAAGTAGCTAGGATTACAGGCATGTGCCACCATGCCTGGCTAATTTGTTTGTTTGTATTTTTAGTAGAGACAGGATTTCACCATGTTGGTCGGGCTGGTCTCGAACTCTTGGCCTCAAGTGATCCACCTGCCTCAGCCTCCCAAAGTGCTGGATTACAGGCGTGAGCTACCATGCCCACCTCCTCGTTCCCAATTTCATGTGGCTTTTGGGATGTCTGGTTTTCCCATTCGCCGGCAAACTCCTTGAGATCAAGTACCATTCATTGCTGATTTCCCGTAGTACTCGGCCCAGGGTCTCACACTGCAGGTGTTCAATTAATATTTGTTGAATTTGAGTGTAACCCACATGTTCATTTTTACCAATCAACAAACTAAGACGCAGGGGTAAAAGAGACAGCCCAAGGTCCTAATCTCATTTAGTGGCAGAAACAACCCATATAATAACCCATCCTCGCAAAATCACTATAAAGCAGCTTTAGAACAGCTGGGAAATTCACTGGTTTGCACTGTAGTAAGCTAAGCTTAGTAAGAAGCAGCTTTGTAAGAAGGGGCTCTGGTCTTTACCCCTGCTCACTTTCCATCGGACACAAAAACGCTTAAACGAAACCAGTGCCCTACACTCCAGGCAGAGCTAGAGAACCCAGCACCAATTTAGTGCATACAATAGATTCTTAAATACTCAATAACAAATGCCAAGAACCAGCTACGAAAGTTGCCAATTTAAGCCACTAGAGGGAATCAAAGGCTCAGATTTGGTTGATGTCCCAAAAGGATCGGAACATTGTGGTGGGTGGTGTGCTTTGACAGTCAGCCAAGTTCTATTTATACCTTATCCAGAATTCAATACAGCAGTGCCGGGAGGAACCCCTCAGTGAATACAAACGGCTTTATCAAGGCAGGGAGCCACAAGATCGGAGCACATGCACGTCTAGTCTTCCTTGAACTGAGATTTCTACAGATTTCTAAGGCCCTTCTCCTTTTGTCCTCACACTACCCCCCCCCCTCTTTTTTTTTACATTGCCCGAAGGATCTTCCTTCCATTTTTTTTTTTTTTTTTTTTTTGACAGAGTCTCACTCTGTCACCCAGGCTGGAGTACAGTCATGCAATCTCGGCTCACTGCAACCTCTGCCTCCCAGGTTCAAGTGATTCTCATGCCTCAGCCTCCCAAGTAGCTGGGATTACAGGTGTGTGCCACCACGACCGGCCAATTTTTGTATTTTTAGTAGAGATGGGGTTTCCCTGTGTTGGCCAGGCTGGTTTCAAACTCCTGACCTCAGGTGATCAGCCCACCTCAGCCTCCCAAAGTGCTGGGATTATAGGCCTGAGCAAACCACCAAATTAGCCTGT